ACCATCCCTAATTATCCCTAAGTCTTGCGACTCCAACTGGCATCTCACCAACAATCCCTCGGAGCTAACTCGATTTCCCTTTCAAGGGATGTTCCTCTAAACTCGTTCATCATGGCCCTCTGTCCCTAGACTCATTCACCTCTGATCTCAGACTAGACCATCCCACTAGAATAACCGATAAAAACCAGGAATACTAACTGCCACATGCCATGGTACTCAAACCGCGTGGCCACCTCTCGATCTGCTATGAATCATGGTACTTGAACCATGTTCCCTCTTCTCATTCCACCTCACATCATGGCACTCGAACCATAACATCACCTCTCAATCCACTACTCATCATGATACTCGAACCATGTCATCATTTCTCAATCCGCCACTCAAAATCCTTCGGATTAGCCTTCCGGATCGTCGCGGTTATCACGTCATGAATCATACGGCGAATCTCATTATCGCTAACACCGCTGATCTCCTTCGTGTGTGGTGTACCAACAATGATGTCTCTGAAACACAACACAAAGATACCAGAGACTCAATTGAGTATGCTCGCACACGATCGCCCAACCCTACTTGTTCCTTGGTACCCAAAGGATTCTTACTTAGAGTGTGCACTGCTCCGATGTCTTCAGTAGTACAGGCCCTATACTACCGTCCACAACGCATCAGTATTCACACTAAGTCCTCCTCCTTGGATCCCAAATCACAAGTACCCTATATCTCATTGGCATAGGTTACCCTTCGGTAGACCTCTCATCAGCTCCTCACTACTACCAACTCGCTCTCACGCATCACATAGCAGCAAAATCTTTCATAGACTAAGGCATCATAAATCAGGCCACTCTAATCCTAATATGAGTACCTAGCCTACTCTAGCATGCATATCATCATAACATATCTCATAACGCATAATGTAAGGGTATTTTGGGAAATCACCGTTCGGGCGCTGGCTGATTGTACACACTTCTTCCTTCTGCCTTTCTCAACATCTTTTACTATTTTAAAAAAATTGTTTATTTTATGAAAACTTTCCCAATTCCTCAGTTTGATTTTAGATTCATCCGAAAATGCACTCGAATCCCTCAAATCAAGGCTCTGATACCAACTTGTAACAACGTAAAATTTTCAAAACAATTTTTTGTTTTTAAATCGTAGTTTCAATCACATGATATTCTCAAAACATAATGTGTCACGGTGTCATACAAAACATGTCCCCAAAATCTCAATAACATAAACTCTATGAGTGTGTATGGATCATGCCAGTGCCTTCCTGTGATCCTTGCTAGCACTTGAAACACATAACACAACAACTGTAAGCATAAAGCTTAGTGAGTTCCCGAAAATACCACATACAACACATACGCCACTCAAGGCTACTGTATGACCCTCCGGTCGATGTGTCTCAGTGGGACGCTCTAGTCTCATAGCTCGTTGGGCCCTCTGGCCCGGTTTGAATCGTTGGGCCCTGCGGCCCGGTCTGAATCGTTGGACCATCTGGTCCGGTCTGTATCGCTGGACCTTCCGGTCCGATCTATACAATCATATAACATACAAATATAACATAGCGCATAGATTCACATAATCTCATATATAGCACATAAGACCCTCCGGTCCAAATAAATACCACTCTAGGTAACGTATAGTGAGAAGACTCACCTGGAATGAAGAATCATCCTCTAGTCATGCTGCTACTAAACACCGGCCTCTAACTCTGTGTCAAATCCCATTATTGTCGCGATCAGAAACTAGGACCAACCTTTCACTTATTAGGTCTAAAGATAGACCAATTACCAGCCCATCGATGCTCTAATTCCATTGGGCCCACCAAGGCCCAATAATAAATGGGTGTCCCCAAGGCACAACCTCACCCTAAAAGAAAACCCCAACATGAGGCCCATGACATCAATTAATTCTCTGCTCATATGCTCAACTACATAGGCCCAAGGATTTAAGCCCAACACTTAAGGCCCAAATATCAACTCTAGTCCAAAAGCCCACAGAGGGGTTACACGGGGCGTACCTCCTTGGTACGCTCAGCGTACACGAATGCCTAAAGAACTAATCGGGAACCTCAACCCAGTACGCTCAGCATATTAACTAATATTTATAACTTTTTAAAAGATAAGATTTAAATAGATAATAATTTAATTTAATATACCTTTGCAGCTTCCATGACAAACATTTTTTTTTATTATAAGAATTTCATATACTACAAATTGGAAAGATTTTTTTAATGGTTGTTAGAATTTGGAAAGATAAATAAAACGTCACGTGGCCTCATGGCCACCGTTATTTCATATAATTTGCATTTTACCTCTTTGAATGTTTATTAAAATTTAAAAACATAAGATTCAGTGTTTGGGGCATGTCATTTGGTCTTTTTATTTTTACAGATTTATCAAAAAGTATTTACCTTATTATGAAAAATAAACATTTAAAAAACTAACCAACCACAAACGAGGTAAGAAACAACCATAACAAATAATGTTTATTAAATGATGTCTTTTTCATTTTCTAAATTCTTTTTGTCGAATATATTAAATATACAAAATAGTATAATGATTCTTTAGAAGATAAAAATATATAATTTTACATTTAATTTAAAAGATAAAGTCTTTTAAAATAAAGTCAAAGTAATGTTATAACTACATAACATACAATATTACAATATTACGACAACATTATTTTTAACTAAACCATCAATTTCTTTTTTTTTTGACTTAAAAAAGAAACATATTTATTTTATAACCGACCAACCTGTTTTTATTTTTATTTAAAATATTAATATTATTTTATTTTTAACAACAAATATATAGGTGGAATCGATACAGTACCGCATATGCTTTTTTAAAAATCATGTATTGTATCAATTATAATTGATATGTCATTTTAGTTACTGCTATATATCATACATAACATAGTTGGTACCAACTTAATTGGTTATCAGTTGAGTTGTTACATGTTGGTAATGGTAAATACCAACATGCATGAGTGTTTTGCAAATTAAGATTTATGTATAATTGTGCATATAAACTATACATGTGAATTTTGTAAATAAGAATTTTGTGAAAGGTAGGATTGGAAATTCGATCCAAAAAGATTTTATGATTTTGTTCCATGAGTTTAAACTTAACAACGAAGTAAAGTTGATATGTTAATATAATTTGACTTTAAACATTACTCGATGCTAAAGGTTAATATCAAAACTATTGGAACTCATAACTGTCAAATACATTTAAAGTTAAGATATGCAATCTTTTATATATATATATATATATATATATATATATATATATATATATATATATATATATAATTGGTTTGTACGATAATACAATTAACTATGTACCATTAGCGTACAATTATTAATTAATTGGTACGGTACTACCATCCAGACATAATTGATTCGAGTGATACATATTGGTTGATTTTCCATGATATATTTGCCACTCTAAACAAATACCAATGTATGTTAATATTAAACTCAAAATCAATACATTGTACTTTTTTAAACCAAATAACAACAAAATTTTATTTTTAATGCAAAGTAGCCCGTCAAAAGGAACAAAATCATCGCTATGAAAATATTTTCCACTGCCGCATAGCACGGGTAGCTTACTAGTATGTATATATATATATATATATATATATATATATATATATATATATATATATATATATATATATAGGGCCGATCCATAGCTTTTTAATGCCCCGGGCGAAAAAACATAAAAATGCACCAAGACTTTTATTAAATCTACCTACAACATAAATTAGCTAGTTAACAATAGCATGTTTAACAAGTATAGGGTATCTCCATTTTATTTAATTTTTTTACAAAAAAAAAAAATTATAACCATAACATAAACAAAATTGTAAATCGTGATAACAAAAACTAGATACATTAAACTGTTACAAACACACTACTCCAAATATCAATATTATATGAAAATTTAAAACAAAAAATGTCAAGGTCTTTGTTTGTGATATAATCTCAAAATTGAAACAAATACTCTTTAAATCCACTGTGTATAAAGTATTTTGTCAGCAACATAAACATTTTAAGAATTGCAGCAATACCCATTTAAGGAAATCAGCCTTACATGGGCATCAAATCCAAGGGCATAATCGTCCATCCAAGCTATCCCTTTAATATGCCTTGAAACCAAACTCCATCAAGGGCAGAATTATCCATAGAAGGGAAAAACTTTTAAAATCTAAACCAACCAAAGATTACCTTGCTGTCGTGAAAAATTCGAGAGAAAAACATAGATGAGAAAAAAAAAATGATATCTAGAAAATATAAGCATTAGACTAAGCACCGGTAATTCTGTAAGAAAAGGATCAAGATCATCGAAAGATGAAAGGCATCCAAAAAACAAAAAAAAAATTTCTTCTTGTTCTTAATAGAAATCCAGAGACAAGAGAGTAGAGAGTTTATAGAAACTAAGGTTCTTCATAGAAATCTGGAGATGTATCTATTGGGTTTCCAAAGAAGAGTTTCTTAACCAATCGACGATTGGCAAAAGCAATCGACTTCTCGTCTTCTACATCATCTTTCTAGGCGGCCACTGGGAAGATGGAAACCACACTCCAATTGTTGAAGCGTGTGACATGCTTGATCGTAGATGCTGAATTCCTTTGGGCCAAATACCTATAATATTAACATTATGGATGAAATTTATGCCTCTCATCTCTTGCTGCCTTGGGCCTATGCCCAATTCGCCTAGGTATCAGGACCGACCCATATATATATATATATATATATATATATATATATATATATATATATATATATATATATATATATATATATATATATATATATATATATATATATATATATATATATAATCCGGAAAAGTACGAATCCTACAAAAATGACTTAGATGACTCCACAGAGCCATATATAGTACTTTTCGTCCATTTTTTTAGTTTGGAGTTACACCATAGATCAAAGACATATTAACAGGCCAATAACAAAATGCAAAATTTCACACCTTATGGGACAAGTTCGGTGACAAAGATAAAGATTCAAAGAAGCTTTTAACACGTCCAAGTGCTGGTAAGAGTAATTTCGGTGATAAGAACAGTGAGTCAGGATCTTTTAGTCATTTAGTAAAAGAAAATGTGTCTTGTAGGAGTTGTACTGTTGATGTATCTAGTTTAAATGAGTTTATCACCTTGGTTGGGGTCACTTGCTTAGTTTGAGGGATTTTGAGGTTGCAATACCATATATCAGTTATCGTGAATTATTTTTCTCACAAGCTCATGCAGTTTTGAAAAATAGAAACAAATCCCTGCCTTTTCTGCTGCAATGATTAATTTAAATAAAAGGGATATATGTCATTACATTAATATTTTAATTAATAAATTAAAATCTTCGGCGGAAAAATCAACACCCAACAAATATTGTTTCCTACATTCCGTTAATTACAACCACATCATTTCCTAATTTCCATCTTAGAAAAACTAATTTCCTACTTTTACTCTTATTTTGAAATAATTGCTATACACTCGGCCTTTTACATTAAACATAATTTCCATTTTAATTGTACGAGTAGTTCTTGAATTTCAACAAGAAAAATTATATCCACACACTAAAGAAAAAAACACGATCATGAAGTTGTGGATATCTGCAATTGAAATCCCTAATAAACACTTTGAAACGAATTGCATCTTTCATTGTTTACTTCGTTTCAACCATGATATGATTTCCCTAACATTTTAGCATGTGTCTTATTTGGTTTTACATTTTCCCCTTGTTATTGATAATATTTTGTTTTAACATATAGAGTCGAGCAATGATGCTTGTGTTTCGAAAGAACGCTAATTAACCTAATTCACAACTGATTTGGATCTATTTTTATCAAAACTATTAAGTTCTAAACGTACAATATCAACATGTACTTCATAGCCTCATATTTCCTATCCTCATATAAACAAAAAAACACTTGCAATAACAAAAATATCCTAGTGGAAAGGTAATATGAAACGTGGAAGTAAGAAGGCCACAAACTCTCTTTACACCAGATCAGCCTTTTGTTGGATTTTGTAGTACACCTCCTAGTCAACGAATCCAAATACATAGCATTTTTCTGTATATATAGACGTCAAGGTACTATGGTTTCCTTAAAAAAAAGTCATTTGTTGTTTCATCTTCAGATATTTTCCGATGATTCATCCATTTGTTAACGTCATTCTCTTTTGTCTATATACGTCAATTATTTATTTATGCAGTAGCCAAGGAACAATAAATCCGCCAGAAAGTGTGTCGGCTCTCCTAGCATTCGGGGACTCCTTCCTTGATACTGGGAATAATAACTACATCATAACACCCGGCAAGGCAAACTATCTTCCATATGGAAAGGATTTTATGGGTGGAAAACCAACTGGAAGGTTCTCCAATGGGAAAAACATAGCCGACTTTTTTGGTACATTTTCAAATTAATACCCTCTTTGATGTTTTTATGTCGAAAAAGGTTTTCTATTATTTGAACCAATGCCGAATTCATCAAATTAAAACTCGAGTCTAAAAAAAAACTTTACATTGGTGAAATCATACATTATAGCGACTGAAAATTAACCCCATTGTGTCTATCAAATAACTCCAACCAAGTTTTGAAGTTTAATACATTACTATGGTTCATAGTGCATAGGAGATCGAATTGTACTCATGGCATTTTTTGTATCCCACATATATTGGTGTTTATTCTTCTTTAAAGGGTTTTTTTAGTAAATTATAAACCTAATAGAACACCCTTGACCCTACTCCATAAAAGCTCTATTAAAATAAAAACCATATTGCTAATGTTAATAATATAGTAAGATGGTTACACGAAAATGGATGCAACTACTGCAATAAATTCTGTGTCCATCCATGTTCATAAAAGATCATGTTCACAAAAGATCAACATGAAAGAAGGCAATATTTTTGGATTTATCATCCTCATTTTGAACCTATATTCATCTTTATTCTGGTTATTTTTTTATTTGCGTAAAACAAATTCTTCTTGAAAATCTTATCCTTTTTACTAAAATCAAATTAATTCTCATATCAAATCAAAGCCCAATCACATAAGTTATAAATAGAAATATGAAAAATATAAATTTAACAAAGCAAAATATTTGGGAAGCAAGCATATCGCTTTTCGCAACTTCATCTTTAATGTCAAATCAAAGTCCAATCATATTACGTACTGCCTTCACTAAGCATGTTAGATTCTTGGAATTGCAATGTCAAATATGCCTACCCAATAAAATTATAACAAGTGTCATCTTTCCATATTTTTTAAACTAAATGATTAAGACTATATTAGGAATATATCAAATACAATTAAATTGAATGATGATTTGTTATAATTTTAGTGGGTAGGAATAATTGTAGGAGTAAAAGGTAGGAGGCAATTTAATTTCTCATTAAATATAGCTACTAAAACTGACAAAAACTGCAATTAATTTATTGTTATGATATCAAATCCGAAGCCGAAGGATTAGGAGTGAAGGAATATCTTCCAGCATATCTCGACCCTTCCTTACAAGACAACGATCTTCTCACAGGTGTAAGTTTTGCTTCCGGTGGCTCTGGATATGATCCACTAACAACCAACATATCGGTATGCATACATGATACATATCTTTTTGCTAATTTCTAAAACTACTTATATTTTACATGCTACCTATATACATGCATATCTATTCATGTATCCTTATCTTTTCTCACAATTGTTTGGTCTCCTTCCAATTAGTCTGCTATACCAATGCTGGACCAATTAACTTTGTTCAAACAATATATTGGTAATCTCACAAGGATCGTTGGGGAAGAAGCTGTGATAAATATAATGAACATTAGTGTATCATTAGTATGTGCAAGCACAAACGATCTTATTATATCCCTTCCAGCAAGAAGCTTACAATATGATGTAGATACTTATGATCGCATGTTGGTTAACTTGACCTTGAATTTTATAAAGGTATTAACAACCTTACTTTTCATTCCTAGTAATTATATAATCTTTACACATTCAAACATTGCTATGCAAGATGGAAATGAACAAGTAGATGTTTATCAACTTTGTTGAAGGAACTATACAACCTAGGAGCTCGAAAGATAGCTGTCTTTGGTGCACCCCCTACGGGATGTCTTCCTGCAGAAAGAACATTATTTGGAGGTGTGCTTAGAATGTGTGTCCAGAAGCAAAATGAAGCAGCAGTGTTGTACAACAGCATGCTAAAAGAGCAACTCCAAATTCTTGCAAGTAGTCTTCCTCAGTCAAGGATTGCTTTTGTCGATTTCTACAATCCTCTAATAAACATCATCAATAACCCTCAGCAATACGGTATCCACAACACCCACAACTTAATAACGCATTAAATTGAGTTGGCTAGTGAAAATATTCATGCAATGTTTTGGTTTATGTTTTTCTACACGACTCAAAGAAAAGTTTTCATCTATTCTGTAATTTTGACGTAAATTTTTTTATGTAATAATGTTTAGGGTTGCAAGTTACTGATAGAGGCTGTTGCGGAACTGGTTTGCTAGAGGTGGTTTTTTTATGTAACAGACTTAGCACAACGTGCCCAAACGACTCTAAATATTTCTTTTGGGATAGTATCCACCTATCAGAGATTGGATGTAACATCTTTGTTAATCAGAGTCTACCGGGTTTGGTAGATAATTTGTTCTAGTATAATTAATGTTTGATGGGTGATATGAACTGCTAGTATGGAGATATACACCAGGTCACATAATTAAATAAAGCAATGGAAATGTATTCACTTCTAAATTTGATTAATGTAAACATAGCCTTTGTTGGTTGATCATAATATTTATGTATACATTTTGATCTTGGTTGCTTTTGGCTTTTATTACTCTTTAATATCAGAATTCTAAGTAGCATATTTTTTTGATATTAGGGTAATGTTTTAATTAATGTTTACCAACCTTAGAATGTTTCACAATAACCTTCATTACATTTTGTTGGCATATCGGTTTGATCCAAAGATGGAGTTATATTTTCGGGGGCAAAATAGAAAAGTTCTCTTTCGTTAGCTTTTTAAGTTTATTCTATGCATCTTTTTGGTCCAATTAGGTTTCTAATATTTTAGCATAAGGAATCTTTTATTAGATTAGAATAAATAAGGCATCGTTGGATTATTGTAGGAATTCACAACCTTTATTAGTAAGGAAAAGTCTTGTATGTAATTAATTTGTGTTTCGATTCTCCAATGTTCCATTTTTTTCTACTAACTAATGCGCACAGGTTTCTTTTTGCTTATAATTGAAGCAGGTTCCAACCTAAGTAAATTTAAATTTGGTATCAGAGTGGTTTTGTTGATGGGATGTAATTTGGTTTAGAGCATACGGTATGGGTGGGTGTTATGACACCAAAAAATTGCCACCTCACCATGACACATCATCATTAACACAATACAATTTAGATAGGAAATGGTGTTCAATATTATAATGTGTGTTCAGAAATAGAGAGAAAGAAAGAGATAGAGAAAAGAAAGAAATCTTATTAGTGGAAAATGGCTTTGTGTCTCGTTCTCGTCACAACGATACATGCCACAACAAGAAGAAACTAGAAGGGGGGGGGGGGGGGGGGGCGGTGTTCCCCCCGTTACCACGCCGTCAAGGCATGTCCACGTAGACAATAACGAGAATGAGAAGCCCCATACCGTGTACTCTTAGATCACAAGTTAAAATATCTTAACAACAAGCTTGATTTCTCTCGATCCTATTGGTTGAGGCCCCACAAAACACATACACACAACACACACTAGTCACGTAAATATGTATGTGAAAGTAAACTTGCAAAATGGAACCTGATTACAAATATCTACATTTTCCTATATGTTAAACAAAAGCAAAGTACGTCTATTTATACGAAATAAAGAGCTAAATAATAGTTATCATCTAACCCACGATATTATGCTAAAATGTAGCCACTCACTTTTATCTTCCATAAAACATGGTCAAAGATAAAGACCAAATCTTTTGCTCACCTTTGGATTACATCAAACCCGATTAATCCAACAATCACCCCCTTAATCGGTTTATTGTCGCCCATCAACAATGTTTCTTTGCAATTAACCACCGACGAACAACACCACATTCAGAGCCTTTGTTCACCATCAACCTACCCTATACTTCACCTGCAAAACCGGTCGCCAACAACTGTTTTAACCAACACCATATGGTTGTACCATCTTCAAGCCACATGCTTTACCAAGACAACAACCACAATGAGTCTCGACCTTTCTCGGACACCTGACCTCCATCTCGGCCACATCCAAAGTCTTCCCTCAACTTTTCCCAGACCCCTGACCTCTTCTTCAGCCACATCCAAAGCCAACTCTGTCACAGTCTCCTTTAACTACCACTGCAGCCACTGTCGAGACCTCCCTTTAACAGCTTAAATACTTTACTTGTTCAAAGAGTCTTCTCCTATCGCTACCAGTCAACAAAACCAAGCTCCTCTTTCTGTTTCTTTTTTCTGCAAACAAGCCAAACCAAAAATCCACTTGTTCTGATTTCTTCCAACTTGTCTTCTCGGATTCTGAAAAGACTCATCGTACTGAATACAATATCTATTAAACCGGGACCATTCTTCTTTTTGTTATGTCGATAGCCACCTGTTATCATCACCGTTCCATCATTATCATAGAACCCGTCGACCATCTTCTCCGGGAAACCATAATAACCCGCAGTCACCTGCTACACCATCTTCTAAATTGCCAAACACTAGCAACCCACTACAGACCGACATCTGTTTCCAATCATAACAGCTCCCGATAACCACTTGGTTAGCTTTGATACCAATTGTTATTTCAGGCCCTACAAAACACGTACACACTAGTCATGTAAATATGTATCTGAAAGTAAACTTGCAAAATCGAAGTTGATTACAAACGCATACATCTTCCTATATGTTAAACCAAAACAAAGTACATCTATTTATACTAAATAAAGAGATGAATAATATCTATCATCTAGCCCACGATATTATGCTAAAATGTAGCCACTCACTTTTATCTTCCATAAAACCCGGTTAAAGATAAAGACCAAATCTTTTGCTCACGTTTGGATTACAACAAACCCGATTAATCCAACAAATCCGACTTGTCCTAATCTTAGCGAGAGACTAACTTGATGTACATGATAAATGGTTGGGAATACATCAAAATAGGTGGATTTGATTCGGTTCGTTTTTACGGGTGATGGAAGACGGTAAAGTTGGTCATAACCTTGTCATCTTGATTTACTGAAGAGTGCTCTAGGAACAAGCTTGATAAAGAGGTCAGGGTTATCAAAAGAGAGTGATGGGTTTTGGTCATAAAACATCCTATGTGCTCATACAAACCCTAAAGCTTGGATCTAGGTTTCTCTATTGTACATGCTTTGAATCCAAGACTATAAACCCTAATTCTAGCATGCAAGTAATCATATTAACATAAGAATGAGTTTATAATGTTACCTTGATTGTTATGTAGCAATAACAATCCCAATCCCACCTTGAATTGACTTTGGAAGGCTTAGAGTCACAAGTGTCACTCCTCTAATGGTTCACAAACACCATAAGCAAGAGGATGAAGAGGAGAGAGATTGGAGGCTACCAAAAACGTGTAGAAACCCTAACAAGAAGCTTAGCTACGTTTTTTAGCCTTAAGGGGTCTTTATATAGTTGGGCTATTAGGGTTATCTAACAAGGAAACCCTAATTTGGATGCTTAATCCCTAAGCAACCCATAGACTCCTTTAATCAAGCCCTTGGACGATTTCCTTATGGGCTTCCCCATAGAATTCGTCCAACCCTTGATACAAGGCAATCCATGGCCCAAATTGCAATTATCTTATAATTAAAACTCCAGTCCCTTAAGTTTAATTAATCTCTTTTAGTCACAAAACTAATTACTAATTAATTATTGACTAATATTAATTAAACAATATGATTTCTCCTTTAATATATTATTCTCATAATATATTAATAAATCATATTTAATCCTTTCTCTCCATAAGTCATCCTATCAAGCTACTTTGGTGAAGGCAACCCAAAAGGACCATGCACCATCGGGTCAAGTACATACCAAAATAGTTATGGACTTAGACACTAATCCAACAGTCTCCCACTTGGATAAATCTAATAACTATTCTGCGTATGACTTCAGATCCTAATCTGCAATTGTAGCTTTCCAAAGCCGCTGTCAACTCTGATCCTATCAGATACGCGTGTCCTTAGATAAGGGATCATATATTCCTCCATTCTAGATATCGTGTGAGATATGATTTCAAATCATTCGCTTTGTACTATATCTCGATTTCTGATTTATGACGACAGACTAATTGAACAAATCAAATTAGCCCTAGCCCGGCCGAGCATTTACGTTTGTCATCACTAAATAATCGAGGGGCCCAAAGATATCGCTTTTATCCTTCTTTGGATAAAAGGAACGGATAAACTTTGATATAATGCCTGCTTGCACTCACTAACCAAATCACACACAACAATATGTTTTATAACACCAAGTTACTAGTGCGTTTACATATTATCAATGTGTAACCGATTAGCAAGATACAACTCACACATCTCGGTTTCAAGAAGATAAGATATTATCGTCTCACTAATCACTTGTGATACAATCCATGGAGTGATCCAAGTGAGCGTGGGTTTAATCCAATGCTCAAATCATATTCATAAGCACTCATGAACGTTGCAGCAAACATTTGCTTATGTCTAATACTCTTTTAGACAATCCACACATCAATTCACGACAGTCTTCATTCATATCTACTTCCAACATATGAACGACTGTGGCCCGTTTGAATGATTTGATTATTCTTAATAAACTCAATTATTCTGGAAGTCAAAACATGCAAAGTGAAACACAAGAATAATACTAATCCCATATGGCCTCAACCCTTTGAGCATAAATAAAACACGTTTTATTTATCACCATATCGATTACTCATTATTTGTCGTTTCGGGTAATCAACTTCTTACTTAAATTATTACACTTGTCCCATGCTCCTAGCATGCACACAATGTTTACCTATGGTTCTTACTTTGTGAAATAGATCACATTGAACATGTTGCCAATCATTCTCATTTCAGAACTCCAAATCCTTTTTCATAAGTGAAAGAATATCAAATTCTTGCTACTTATAGAATATGCTAGATTCTAACATCCTATGCAATGATTCTTTCGTAATGTCACTGCACCAAAGTCACAAAGACTATTGCCAATGATATTACAAAGTCCTCTATCGGAGATTGTTACAAGACAATTCCTTAGATATGATGTCTCTCACTCAAAGTACATTCCTTTGAACATCCTTTTGCATAAAGGTTTCTAATCTAGTCATAAATTTTCAATATTTACTTCCCAGTATGGACATGCTTCCATATGTTCCATATGACAACTCATTTCTTAATAGAATCTTTTCTATTCCTCATAATGTCAATATGGTCCATTCAATACCATGCTTCCAACTACTCACAAGCAACCAATCCTCGTCGAACTTTGGATTGTCCTTTGATAGTTGTTTAATTATGTTAGTCAAAAACCAATTCTAGTCCCTTTTCCCTGTAAATGCGCTAGACATTTGGAAAATTTTAGAATGGTCAAACATTAAATCATTTTCAATTGATCCTATACCCGAAGCGTATGGGACACGACGCATAATGTTTTATTTGCTATGTTCTCAAAATTCGAATTGTGAAGAGGAATGCCGTAATCATAATCGAAATTTTAAGAACACACTATGTACCCTTGACTAAATTTATTAACATTTCTCAACCTAAACCTCTAGATTTGAAATGAAGCATAATATTCTCTTCCTTAATTATAGCAAAACAACTTTACAACCCTTACGTCTTTGCAAAGTATAACTCTTGTTTTCTATAATTAATATTGCCAACTTGCAATATGTGCCTTAATAATCATACAATCATAACATTTATGCTCCCACTATCATGATGATTACTATAAAACATAACACTTATGCTCCCACTAGCTTCGACTTGTATTCACAAACATCTTAACTTTCAGAAAGACAATACTTATTGAATTTCTTAAGTCCATGTTTCTAATACTTAGTTATTTGATCATCTTTTATCAAGTCTTCTTGAACTTATACACCTTTTCCTTATATAGTGCATATGTGTGTCTTAACAATTAAGACTAATTGCCAAACCTCACAATTCAAATCATGGAAAGCGATACCGTAACCATAATTGAATTCGAGAATGCAAATTTACAATCACTATCTTCTTAAAATATTTCTTAGTGAAAGCATTTCCTCACAATCATTTTCATGAAGGAGGAAATCTTATGACACTTAGATTTTAATGGTGTATATGTTCCTATCCATGTGAATTTGTTAAAACTAAAGTTTACGACAAATTCAAACTCATATGGATCGAACTTTCTTAATCTTGATTTCTTGCCTTATGGTAGCACAGCTGCCCACCATGTCTTCCAAGTAGTTAAGCAGATCACCCATTCCTATCAATGTACCTTTCATTGATTAAGGTGCTTTGCCTTTTATGCGTTCAAAATGAGAACTCATAGAACTCTCATGCATAATTAACTCAATTGGAACAGCACAGAATCAAAATATTGTCAACACGATAGGTTGTAAGCCTCAACTCATGTGCTAGTGATGATCGATAAGGTTTATTTGATTTGTTCTTGAAACCTTTCAAGACCATTGAGACTCTCACTGAATCCTTGACATATAAGATTCTCTTGTCAATAAACATTTGTTGACAACCAAATATTCAAGAGTTAGTGTAGCTTTTATCAAAACACTTCATAAATTGGTTCTAGTTGGCCTTTGTCTTATCCAAGACATCACAACTTTCCACATTTGATGAATGTTATAAACTTTTAATACTTTTCACTCATTGTCACAATCTTAACTTTAAGACTTGTTATTGGAACGAAGTATGATAGACTTCTTGATTTAACCATTTCTTCAATCCTTGATTCCTCTTCTTAAACATACAATTGTACTAAGACTCACTTAGAGGATCAATTGAGATATGGTTCTTAATCATTAAGATCTATCATAAAGCATAAAAGCTACTCTCCCTTCTTCTTAGAATGGAGAAACTTTTATTTTTTTGCCTACTTGATTCTTCTTATTCGTTCTACTATTGATCTAAACCCTTTAATCAATTTAGAATTACACTTAATCCTGTAAGTATAATCATATTTACTAAGCCTTTAGTAAATCATGACGTATATCTTTGTTACTCTTATGGTGAACTTGATCAACACACAACTTTGTGTACTCGATCTCCTAGTTATTCACTTGACACTTTGTCAATGAATTTGTCTAATTTCCAAATATGAAATTTCTCATTCATCATGCAACCAAGTTGCGTGATTCGAAATTTCAGTCCAATTGAAATTTGG